GACAATGTTTAACACATAAAAACCTATAAGTTTACGAGTGTGTGGATATTTGGCAAGGCAAACCTGATTTTCAAAGTAAATCTTTATCATTTTCAACAAAAATAATATCTTAAACAAGAATAACTAGGCATTGACAATTACTCACCAACGGATTAGTGGTGATGCTACGAGTAGCCTTAATGAGCCATGCCCATCAAAGGTAATCAACCACAAACGAGAGTCAAAGGCGATTAGTGATGGAAATTGTGAGTGAAATTTAATGGTAATTAGTGATGTGATAATAATGATAGTGATTGTAAGAGAAATATTAACGTTATATACTAATGGTGATTGTTTTTTGAAAGCCAGTTATTTTAGGACAAAATTTATATTAAGTTTTAGAAGTGAAGTGTGTAAAATTTTTTATTAGAAATAAGAAAATAAAAATTTTAATGAAAAATTTAATCGATAGATTGATAAAATTTAATATAAAAATTAATAATATGTAAAAAAATAATTAAAAATATTTTTGTAATTTAAATTTGATCGATATTTGTTTAATGATAAAAATTTTATTAATATTTTTACTAAAAATATCTATTTAATAAATATATTAAAATTTATTAAAAATTTTCAAATTTTATACGATTGATTTATGTAATGAGATATTTTGATCTATTAACTTTAATTTTTGAATTTAATTTTAATTTACTTATTTCTAATATGAAATTTTATGAATTTCAATTTTAAACTTTTCCGTTATTTTATTAAGAAGAAATTAATAAGAAATTTAGACATGGAAGTGTAACAAACGGGTGATGGAATTGATGCATAACTCAGCATTTATCACAAAGCACAGAATTTAATGCAAATTCAAAATTGACCTAGAAACCTGAATTTGCCTCTGTTGCCTCCGCTTGGTGCAGCCTGCACGGTCGCCCCGAGTGCTGGTAATGGTGGCTGGCGGTACTTCAGATTTGCCATGGAGGGAAGAGGAAGGAACAGTGTCAAGGTAGTTTTGCTACACTCTGATATTATCTAATCCAATACCGTTACAATTATTCATAATTTTATATAAATTAATTTGAAATCCCAAAATGATTTTGTTAATCCACGCTAAAAAGATAAAATACAACAATTGGGAGTTAACCAATCACAAGTGAAGCATTTACAGCCAAGTTACCAAATCATGTGAATGAGATACCCCAGCTTTAGCAAGGCTGTCAACAATGGAGTTTGCTTATGTATTTAAATGTGATCTCTTATTATCACGTAAAATTATGAGATTTTATGTTCAAATCACATTGTGTGGGTTTTGTTATTTAATTATATTTTAATTTGTTAATATATTATTTAGTAATTGTAATTTAATTATAATATAATAATTAATTATTTAATTGATTATATAAATATAATATTTAATTATAAGTATAATTTTTAAAAATATATGATTAAAAATGCGCTTCATCTGTCAAGGCACCATTGAACGATTGTTGGACCAGAAAATTGCATTAGTAGAGTCATAGGTTCCAATAATCCATATTGTCTAGAGCAACCGAATAACATATATTCTTTTTAGTAAGAAAAATGTTAAAGAGGCTAGTTTTGGTAGGGAGAGATTGAGTAGGACGATAAAAAAAAAATTATCCTTGCCATTTTTTGCCCAAACACAAATTACCCATATACAAGAATTTATAATTTGGATAATATATGCTTATTTTTCAAGTAGTTGAGGTATAATAAATTAATAAATAGTTACACTTTTCCAAAGTAACAAAAGAGGCTCCTCTTGAAAGGTCATTTCCGTAACCACATCTCTCTCTGGCATTCACACATTTCTTTTGTTAGATTTGATAATTCTTTTTTTTTTTATTACATTAGAAGAATAAAATTTTAGTATAAGTAAAAAAAAAAAAAAGAGAAAATTTGATTCGAAACAAAATTTTTAATATTTTCTCAAACGCTTCTAATCATTAGGTTAAAGGTTTAGAGACAGATTGATAATTCACGTACATATATATATTTTTAATTAAATTTAATAATTTATATTATATAAAATATTAATAATTTATATTTTTATAATATTTTATATAAAAATTATGTATTACATATATGATCTATATAAAAAGAATAAAATGTATATTTTTATTTTTATTAAATTTATATATAATATTTACTAAAATTTTAAGCTGCATCATTTTTATTTTTTATATTATTTTTTACGATATTTTAAATGTTATATCTAAATTCGGTTCATAATTATAATATTCTGATGATTGGAAATTGTTACATTAGCAATTTCACTTTAGTGAAACGTACATTAGAAAGGAGCCATTGGCTGATTTTTCCGGCATAGCAGGGTGTTCTGTTTAGAATGCTAATTATTATTGTCAAACAATAATTAGATTAAATAATTTTAAACAATTTTAAACACTGATACCAGATTTGAAACTATTGGCCAACTTTCAAAGCTAATCTTTTCTGGGATCGGGTGGAATTTTGTAAAGTGTCTCTGGAAATATTCTTTTGTCTTGGACAGGTGTAGCTAGTGTCATGCACCGGGAGCTTAAATCTAGCTACCGTGCGACCTTAGGGGCGTGCGCGGTCCATAACACTAGTGTTGCTTCCTCGGTGCGGATAGCATCAGATTCACTCGAACGCTTCTACTTTCCTTCTCTAAGCCTGCAACCACCGCTGCCCTTTCCTTCTCTAGGAAGCAAGCAAAAGTCTGACCATCAGAAGGACAGGCTTACTTATCCCGACCAGCAACTTGTTAGGGAGTAGGGGCATCCATTCAAGCTTGCCCAACCTAGTAAAGGAGCTTGGACTTTAAGCCTGTTTGCAATTGTCTTCGTGACACGTTTATATATAACGTTGCAGCATGCAATGGGTCGAAATCACCCCAAAATATCCAGCGTTGACTTATTAGACTGGAACTGAAACTGATTAATTGATCTCAAAAACATTTCCTATCTTCGTCTTTATTTAAACCATAGATGAAAGAGGCAGAGAAGAGGTTAACCCCATCAGACTTAGAGATGTGACAGATATAAAAATAATATAAATATAAAATTGATATTAAAATTAACAAAAATTATATATAAATTTGATATTTTTTTTATGTTTTATACGTTTATAATATAAAATAAACGCAACATAAATATATAAATTAAAAATGTTCAAGTCTATTAACAAGCATGAAAAGTCGATCTCTATACAATTGCCAAATTATTTTTTGTTTTTCTCTTGATTTGGTGTGTCACTGACGTCAATTTAATTAGAGATTTTAATAAAATAAATTTAATAACTTCAAAAGACAAAAAGTTTGTTGTTGGAAAAAAAAAAAGAGAATTTTACTACTTCCTACCATCGTCGATGAACTCTAGAGAAAAACTCTTGACCTAAAGGAACAAACTCATCATAGCTAAAAATCTTCATTAACACACAAACAATAAAAAAAATAATTCAGTAAATCAATCGTCGATCCAAGAATACTGCTTACGAATTTCTTCTTCTTCTTGAGGAGTAAAATCATTCTTGATACCAAAAGTTTGACGAATTTCCTCAACAGTTTTGCTTGCTTTGATCATATCAGCAACTTGTTTGGCCACTCGTTTTAGCAACTTCTCTACGTTGAGATAGTTTGCAGCCATGAAAAGCTCGTTAAGACTAACTCTATCAACATCAAGAAATTCCGATTCCCAACTGTTGAATTCTTTTTCGACGTCTTCAACGTTGTTTGCTTCCACATAATCTACATGTTTTCCGCACCATTCGATTATCATCGTTAAGGTCTTGCTATGCACCCTGAACAATGGAATCACACCAGTGGCGCACCCATCTTCAATCATGTTTTTGATGAGCTCGGATTGCATGGCTACGGATTCTTCAACCTCGAAGATTTGGTTGTCTTTGCTCATCAGCGTCAAAACCTTGGATGTTGACATGGTTTTTTTCTTTGCTTTTGATAGTTGAGAAAAAGAAAAACAAAAAGAAAACAGACGAAAATATTTTGTTGACGGAGAGATTAGGGTTTATATATATATATATATATATATATATATATATATAACTTTGTTTAAAGTTTTTTGCCCTAAAAATAGACCTGTTTAAAAGATGGATAACTCACTTAAATTAAAAAATTTATTTAAATTTTAAGAGAGTTTGGACAAAAAATTAAAACCTATTAAACGAGTTTGACACAATTTTATACTCATTTAAATTTCAGGTCGAATTTTAAATAAAAAATTTAAAACTCGAGTTTGATTCGACCCAACCCGAATTTACATTATATATATATATGAATTAATTTATAATTCGCATTATATATAAAAATTAAAAATAAAAATTATATATATTTTATTAAACTTAATTTTTACTTTCATATAATTTTTATTTTTAATTTTTGTATATACGTGAATTGAATATAATTTTATTAAATTTAATTTAATCATATTATTTTAATTTTTTATTATATAAATTAAATTTAATGAGTGAATTTGAGATTTATTTTTTTAATTAGAGTCGCTTGAAAAAATTTTGAAACTAGGTTGAGACTGAACAAGTATGTAAGTTATTAATATTAAATATGAACATGACCTGAACTTGATTCGACTCGACTTATGCACACTTTTACTTAAAATCAGATCTTTTTTACAATAGGTTTTATATTTTATATTTTTTGAATTATACTAGAATTTCAACTTTAAATTTTTAATCCTAGAATCAACTCCAAATCATTGAACTTTATTTTATTATACTCTATCTTATAATTTTGGGCTTTTATTGGACAATCTTATTTATATATTCATCAGTTTTTTCTTTTTAAAAAACTAATAGTAATAATAGACTAATTTCTATTTGAGAGGAAGTTTACTTTTCATACAAGAAAAGGTAAAAGCCCTTTCCTAACCCTAACAAGACTTGACAGAAGCATTAGTATATATATGGTACCGCAAGCTCAGATTTAACCACTTAATATTTCAATTTGCTTCTATCAAAGTTTTATGTCTGTAGCAGCCATGACTTCCTTTGCCAAAAGCAATACCAAAAACCAACCTCCATTGTTGTTTTTGTTGGGGGAGCCCAATGGTGAAACCAAGCATGCTTTCCTTGATCCTGTAAACCAATCTCCATTCTTGAGTGAGGCAGAGTTTCCCGAGCTTCAATTTCAGGTTGAGTGTTTGTCATCAGGGCATGGTTGGTTACTTCTACTATCCCGGCAAACCTCTTCTCTTTTCTTTCTCAACCCCTTTACCCGTCAAAAAATCGATCTTCCATATCGATCATCTGGTTTCACTGCTGTTGCTTTCTCTGCACCCCCAACATCTCCAGATTGTGTTGTTTTTGCTATCCAACATCAGTATGGTATCCATTGCCGTACCAACTTCCATGTAGACGTTTTACGTGTTGGGCAGAAAAGTGTTGGAATCGATATCCATATCGAGTTGGGAAGGATTTTGGTGTTCTGATGCATGCAATTTGCAATGATGGGATTTTGTATTGTATGGATTCTTGTGGAAGGATTGCTACTTTTGATGCCAATAAAAAAGGAGATACTTGGACTGAAATTTCGAGCAAGAATTTCAAGCAGGTTCGTCTTTCTTGTTTCTTCAAATTCAACGGTGAACTCTACGGAGTTAAGCTGTATGGGAATTATAGCGCTGTTGAAACAGTTTATAAACTGAAGCTTGAGAATGGGGTTGCAGCAGCTTGGGAAGAGGTCAATGATATGAGAGACCATACAATGTTTCTTGGCCCTTACGGTTCTTGCGCTGCAGTTGGCCTGGATGAAAAGCTGTTGCAAAAGAAAATTTTCTTGGCCAGGGACGACCCCACATCGAAGTGTCTGATCTTTGATTTTGATGAAGGAAACTATAAGAAGACTGCAACGGTATCTTCATCAGAATATAGCTGGTGCTATTCATCAGTTTGGATTGAAAGATCAGCAGCTTAGTTTATCCTTTATATTAGTTTCTTATTAGTTTGTATGGATGAGATTTTTATTTCCATTGTCTAATAATGGAACCAGTTCAATAATGTGGTTAAATTTATCAAACTGCAAAATAGACTTAAATCATAAATAAATTAGTGATTTTAGTTGAATTGAGTGTGTTTTTAACCTCATTCCTAGAAAGATTGCATTTTCTGAGATATCAAAATGTGCAAATTCTGTCATTTTATTCTCTCATATTTTATTCTCTTACCAAACATAATCTTAGAATAACGATGAAAGAGGGAAAAATCAGAACATCATCTCATTACCTATACTGCAGTCTGACAAAAGTCGTTCTGACATGCCAAAAAATTATAAAACAGACTCCAAAATCATATTTCTCCCCATCTAGAAAAGGAAAAAGTCATTATACCAACCCACAAATTTCAAGGGTAACAAAGGTTCTGAAAACAAAGTCATAATTCCTCTTCACTGGCCTCAGCAGCGGCAATCTCAGAATCCAATTTGTTTATTAGCTGCTCACTTACATGTTTTGCTACAGATATCATGTCAAGAATAATGCTTGGATCTAGGCCTGCACCACCCCGTTTGGAAAGGCCGCAATGTGTCCTTTCCGGTTAACTGAAATTGAGACAGCCGAGCTCATTTGGGATTCCTCTTCTGAAGTGGCATCAACAATATAGTGTCTCCCCACCTAATTAAAGAACAAAAGGCAAGAAAATAAAGATGAAATAGCAAAATACTTTTTTTAAGCAATTAACAAAAATTTTAAAAGAACAGCAGAGCTGCTTTACCTTTGTTAGTGTAACTATGAAAGGGATCCCAGATGTGTCAAACTGTAGAAACTCTTCATCACTTATGTTGACTTCAGGTTGTTCATTACCTACTGTCTCGGCTGCAACATCGACCTTTGGGACGCCAGTATTGCTTAAAGCAGCCTTTGCAAACAACAAAGTTGAGTTGTTAATTTTGAGTTTTGAGAACAAATGCAATCACCATATGTATCAGAGTAAACTAACAAAAAGGCATTTAAAATGGTGAAGTACAAAACGAGGTTGACAGAAAAGAGCTTTGTTTAGTTTTGTGGCTGTAGAAGGGTTCTTTGTTGAGGTGAGGAAGCGTTACAAACAACTAGAATAAGATCTATCGGGAGACTTTAGAAAGAAAGATTGGAGCAAACCTTAACAGTGTGTTTGGATTGAAGGGAGAGGAAGAAAAGGAAATAAAACTCCATTTCCCTTGTTTGGATAAATTTTTAATTTAAAGAAAGGGAATGAGATGGAAACCATATTTTTATTATGTCCATCTTTTTATTAATACTAAAAACCTAATAAAAAAACCTAAGCAGATCACAATCAACCTATAGTTTTTTTAAAGTGATTTCTTTTTTCAAGTAAGTTTCATATATCTCTTCTAATATAAAAATTTTTGATAATTTTTTAATGATTTAAATTTGATGAATGGTTGAATATAAATAGATATATTTTTTAGGTTTATGAGATGACAGACTAGCTCAAAATCTATCAATGCATGTTTGTAAAATATCTTCATGTTTCACTTAATTAAAAATTATTGATATAGCAGCAATTGTGAGTTCAGAAAAATAGCAAACATATCATGGTCAAGGAGTGCTCTAAAATCACATGTAATGAAAGGTTATAATTGAAAACAATTATTATAATGAATCATTTCCTTTCTTTTTCACTCATTATCCAAACAATGGTTGTTAAAATTCCTTTTATTTCCTTTCCTTTATTAATTTTAATTATCCAAACAGAGGTTATATGTATCTTTTCCTTTCCTTTAAAAAACTTTCTTTTTTATTCTTTTCCTTTTCTTTCCTTTATTAATATTTATTCAAACATAGCGTAAAGTATTGAGTGCATTGGCAAGTGATGGTTGGTGGAGAAACAAGGTTGAGTAGGAAAGAAAATGAGATTGAAAAAAGGATTTAGGAAGAAATAATTATAGAAAGAATTGGTAAATTTACCAAAAGTCTCTGAAAGTTCCAAAAATCTCTCAATGAACTGTGGAAACTCTTATTTATAAGTTTGAATAATAGGAGTTACATATCTTGAGTATTGAATAAGAATAATGATGAATAATAAGATAATTAACCATTACAAAAGGTATTTAATATATTATTTAATGAGAGTTTAATTAGTTTTTTGGTAATAAATATAGTGAATATAAAAATTCACTATCTGTTTAAAGGAAAGGAAGAAACACTCATATTTTAGAGAAATGTTAAGAGAAAACTTCTTAACTATCTCCATATCTGATTCATCTAGCCAAACTCTCTGGAACATTTCAATAGTGGAGTTAACCCAAGAACTCTATCATATTCTGGGGTAATTTGCACTTTTTCTTTAGGTGAAGTAACATTTGATAAAGCGTCTTTTGTAGAATAACTCTTAGTAAAATAACTTGTGTTTCAAGAGTTTTCGATAAACGTGTTGATTTTATTCTTTGAGAAAGTTGTTTTGAGAACAGCTGTTCCATGAAGGTATTGTTCCATGAAAGAGTTATTCCTTGAATAGTTGTTACGTAAACTATTATTCTATAAATGGGTTGTTTCATGAATAGTTGTTTCATAAAATAACCTTTACTAAAACAATCTTATCACCTGTTTCTTAAAATAATCTTCACTGAAACAATCTTATCACTAGTTCTGATTTATCCTCAATTTTGACAACTTTAAAGAATTTTAAAGAATAAAATATTGTAACCAAAATCAAGAATCTGTATTTTGCCCTTTGTAGGAGAATTCTTAGTATAAGAAGTTCTCATGAACTAGTACAATTAAAGAGTAAAAGTAAAATATAAGATACATTTATTCTTATAATTTTAAATACAAATGATATAAACTTGCTCTTTGTATGAGAATCCTTAATATAAGAAGTTTTTATGCACTAGTATAATGAAAAAGTAAAGGATGAATAATTTATGCCTCATTAAAAAATATGTATACTTTGACTATGCATTGTGCATGTGGAATTCTTTGATAAAGATTAAAGAATGTTCTTGTATAAAATAAATAAATTTTAATGTTATAAATAAAAGAATTACTTGTTAGACAATTGTGTTTCCAAAAAAACTAGATAAATTTAAAAAAAAATCATTGATGAAATCATCTCCCTAAAAATAGTTAAATTATTAAAAGAATATATAATGATAGTGTTTCTCTAAAAAAATATAAAAGTTATTAAAAGGAATAAGTAATGAGAACGTTTTTTAAAAAAATAAGAAGATTATTAAAAGGAATAGGTAAATGAGTGTTTTCCTAAAAAAGAGAAAAATTATCAAAAGAAATAGGTGATTAGAGTGTTTCCCCGAAAAAAAAAAAAGAAAAATTTTTAAAAATTAGGTAAGAGAGTGTTTCCCTAAAAAATAAAAAAAAATTATTAAAAGAAATAGGTGATGGGAATGTTTCCCTAAAAAATATAAAATTATTAAATAGAATAGGTAAAGAAGTATTTTTTAAAAAATAAAAAAATTAGTAATAAAAGGGTTTCCCTTAAGAAAAATATGAGAAAATAAAAAATTATCAAATGGAATAGGTAAGGAAGTGTTTCCTTTAAAAAATAGAAGAACAAGTAATGAGAGTATTTCTCTACAAAATAAGAGAACAAGTAATATAAATATTTCTTACAAAATAGGAGAACAAATAATAAGAGTGTTTCTCTAGAGAATAAAAGAACAAGTAATACGAATATATCATAATTTTTTAAAAATGACTTTTGGAGTAGTATGCTAATTTTTTTTTAGAGAGTGCTAGGTAACAAATGTTTCTTAGATAAATTTTCTTTCAATTATCTATAAATAAGTAAGATATATTTATTGACAATTATGTTAGCTTTATAGGTTAGATGGTGATCCAAAAGGGAGGTGAATTGGATCTCTCCAAATTCTTCCCAAATAATGATTTCAATATAGTTGAATAAAAATTAAGACAATAAGCCCTTTTGATGAAAATATAATGAAAACAATAACAATTAATGAACTTAAAATCAAATATAAATAATAATAAATTATAAGAAGATAAGAATAAAGAAATCAAACACAATGATTTATAGAGGTTCGGTCTTTCTCCACAAGGTACCTACATCTCTCTCTTAATTGTCCACACCAAGGCTCCAATCCATTATGTGTTGAAGATTACAAACAAGCTTCTCAAACCTTTACAAACTCAACACTACACACTTTTAATGGTTATCCTCCCCCTTAAGCTTACAAGCACACAATACAATTTTTTTTAAAGTATTTTGCAAACTTTAAGAACCTCTCAAAGGTTAGGTGTTTGCTAATTTAAAGTATACAATGGTATAGACAAGAAAATGATGAATGAACAACAAAAATAATTTGGATACAATAAATGTAAAGATATAGACTTTGAAGCTCTAATAGCTTTTAATTATTTGAGAGAATGAAAATATGGCTTGTTGGCTTTTGCTCTCTTGATTCATAAATCTTCTTGGTGTGTTAGAGTGCCCAATTTATAGAGAAATTGAAGAAGTAGCCATTGAAAGTGTTTGGAAAGTGAAAGTAACCGTTGAATCCTTGATAAAATAGCCGTTGTAGTGATTTTGGCCTTTAGGGGATTAATCCCCTCCCTTAAGGGATCGATTGGTTCATGTTTTGAACCAATTTCCCTTTGAAAATAGCCTAACCAATCGATCCCTTTTGTAGGGGATCGATTTCTTTCTGAATTTTGGGTCCTTGAAGCATTTTGTTTGAAAACCAATCGATCCCTTCTAGAGGGGATCAATCATGTCCATGCTGGGTGGTAGTTTCATGTTTTGTACTTTACTTGCTAATTTGATCATAACTTGAGTTATACAAATCCAAATCATAAACTGTTTAAAGATTTAGAAACTATACTTAAAGGGATTTCTATCCAAGTTCATCACTTAATTCACTGTGTACAAATTATAGTGAATTTTCAAAGTTACGTATTGTGCAGTTTTTCTGACAACTACAAAGTGTAAAAATTTAAAATC